TCTTCAATGGAATGGCTGCTCAAATCAGACTGCAGGTATGGGTTAGTGATGAATGAACCAATGTCTTACCATGCCGGCTGCATGAGACGACAAGACGGTAGGGAGACCGTGAGGCTCCTCCAACCCCATCAGGGTGCGAATGGGGGTTGACCAGGCCAGCAGGGGGGCAGTTGGGGGCAACCAGGCTGGCAGAGGGGGGCAGTTGGGGGAGACCAGGCTGGCAGGGGGGGCAGTAAGAGGCAACCAGGTCGGCGGGGGGGGAGGTGCAGTTAGGGGTGACCAGGCAGGCAGGCAGGTGAGCGATTAGGAGTCAGCCTTCCAGAATTGTGAGAGGGATGTCTGACTGCTGGTTTAGGCCCAATCAGGCCTAAACCATCAGTCGGACATGCCCCCCAAGGGGTCCTGGATTGGAGAGGGTGCAGGCTGGGCTGAGGGGACCCCCCCTCCATGCACAAATTTCATGCACTGGGCCTCTAGTATAAGAATAAAAGCCTATGGATAAAATAAAGCTAAATTTGTAAAGGAATCATAAAGATGTGGAATATAAAAACATAGTTCAAAGCAATAGTAATAAAAATAGTGTTTGTCAAAAGAACACTAGTAGAACTACTATTAGTGCTACTATGAAATATTCTGCCAAATAAATTATTGAAACAAAAGTAGAGAAACTAGAATGGACTTATATGTCTGGGTATTTAGTATGAGGTACAGATTAATGAGGGAAGTGTGGATTATTAGTAGAAAGTGCTCCATGTGTTGTGAAAAATAACACTAGACTCCAACCTAAAACAAAATACAGAGGTGAAGCCATTTGGAAGTGGATTAAAGAAAAAATATGAAAAGTAAAATTACTACAGTAGTAGAAGGAAATGTAGGAGACTATGTTGTCACTCAAGAATGGGAAAGATTTTTTAAAAAACATCAAAGCCCCAAGCCATAAGGCAAAAATACTAATAAATTTGATTACATAAAAATTAAGAATTTCTGTAGCATGATTTCCTGTTAACCATGGACAAAGTTAACAGACAGCTGACAGATTAGGAGAAGATATTTTGCAATGCCTAAACCCAATAGGGAAGTACACAGGAACGCCTGTAAAT